TTAACGCTTGAACAACTAAATAAATGCTTAAGTCTTTTTAACTAAGTGTATTATAATTACATTACAACATTGATGCTGTAAAAACAAGCTTGTGAAATTGAAAATAGTCACATTAAGCTTTTATCATTGGCTTTAAAACTCTAGCTGTGCATAAAGCCAATTGTTGGTCCAAACTTTTTTCCCCATTTTTTTTTGTATACATTTCTTTCCTTATTTATTCAGTTTGGAGACACTAGCGGCATTGAAAATGTGCACATACGTATGTTGTTTATATGTTCTGTTGCACTAGTGGTTAACAAATAAATTTTTAACCTGTACCTCTTGTGGAAGATTGAAGCCAGAGTTAATTCTCTTTTTATGGATATTACTAGTTACATGGCTACTAGATCTAAAACAATCCCACTAGGGTTGTCGCGATACTATTAATTCTTGTTACGATACTATACCAGCTGAAGTATCATGATACCAAGTAGTATTGCGTTACTGTAATTCATAACTCTAATTATAAAGGTAATTGTCAGAAATACTATATTTATATGTTGTGATAGGCCTACTTAAAGTTGGTTCATAATTCCTTTATTATTGAAAAAAAGTATTATTTGCATTTAACTTCACCTAAAATGTATTCCTTTTTTTTGGTAACACTTAATTTTGATGGTCCATTTGAGTATTAGTAGACTGCCTGCTCAATATCTGCTGATACTGCTCCTTCAACAGACATTTACCTGACCATAAGAAACTTTGCAAGTATGTCAACTTGCACTAACCCTAACCATAACGGTCTACTTATAATCGATTGAGAATTAGTTGGCATGTAGATGCAATGTAAATTAAATTGAACAAACTGACCAAGTTATTTTTTTAGATAACTGACAAACAAATACATTTAGAATAAAGATACAAATTATACCAAATGAAATTAGTTACAAAAAGATCATTTTTACAACACTACTAGGCTATATGAAATGGTCAAAAATAGTTTCAAAATTTCCTGTTGCTATTTTGGATTTTTTCCATCCTTTTTTTTTTTTTTTGGTCTGTCTTATTAGATGACGAGTCATTGAAAAATTCACTTTGCGAGTGGTTTCTTTTTAAGAGATTGTCTCGTTTGTTGTAGCTACTAAATCATATTGAAAGGAACAGAAATGAACCGATTCAGATATGTGTTCGAAACATCACAAAACAATCAACCTTAAAGGGTTCCAGACACCATTAAAACAAAGTGGTCCATTGTTGCACGAACATGTGAGCATTTTAGTGACTTTTCCACATGCAGCAATATCTATTGTAAATTGACAGATAATGGCGATACTACCGTTAACAAACTACTGCTGCACCCCAGTATTTTGGAGCCTTAGTATCGCGATACTACCATAGTACCGGTAAACAGTGCAACCCTAAATCCCACTATAAAAGCACTCTACATTACATTAATTAAAAACATTTAATTTTAGACAAAATTACTTTAATACAGCTTTCATTTTATGGTAAACATCTGCTACTCGTATGTCAGACACTTTAATTATTTACATCTTCGAAGTAGGTTAACAAATTAGGCCTCACATTAGATGGTTGATACCCTTTGTACTCTGGTGACGTTTTCTCACAGCAGCCACATTGTGCATCCTTAAATCTATGCAAATTTTCATGTAATATCCAATGGAGTGTAGCTGATATTATTGTACTGGTTTGCATGTGATGCAGGCATTGTAACAGTTGATTAAAATGTTTGGGACTGTAATAGTGGTGACCGTTTTGACAGCGATATTAATGTACAACTGAAAAGAGAGGTAGCAGAAGGATCATGGACGCAGATGTTCTCCAGAGGAGAAGCTCCACACAAGCCCTCCGGCCCTTCAGTTTCTCTCCATTGGCTGCTGGCCAAGACATAAATTCCTCACTTCTTGTAAGTTACAGCCGGTTTGATGGAGGTGAGGCCACTGCAGCTATTTTATTGCGGTAGTTGGAAAAGTAAAAAAAAAATCAGTTAAGGCACACGGTCCAAACCGCATCAGCTGATACAGATCCTGGCCAGGAACCTGAAGACTCGCATGTGAGCTCACCCCAGATCACTATAAATCAGATTTGGCGCAACGTGGAGTTTCCTGAGAATGTTACAAAAGCACAACCTCGCTACGACGTGCCGGTTTTGATCGCGAGCCCGCTTAAGGGAAAAGTTGGCTCGGTGGTTGCCTTTTGTGTGATGAATGAAAGTGCCACCAGCTTGGGTGTGCGTGCGTGTGTTTTTAAAGCTCTGGCAGGTTTCCCTGTGTAGCTGCTGGAATAACACTCCAGAGGTTCTCCCGCCTCAGCGCTGACAAAAGCAGCCCACTAATTCAGGCCTACAGGGGCTGGTATTTTCTGCTTAATACAGCGTTATGTGACAGTACAGAATCACCATGCTTTCACACGAGCTCTTTTTACTTTTGTGAGGTCTTGTCTTCTGAAATGGAGCAGAGTGTTGAAGTGTGATTTTTATTTGTGTGCGCAGGCTAACGGCATTAAGATTGGACCCCAGCATGCTGCCACCAACTCCACGATGGGCGGCAGTCAGGGAGGACAGCAAGCCGGAGGGGGCTGTTGCTGAGCTCTGGCCTTTACCCTCCAGTCTCCTCCACGTCTCCCTCCGCCCCTTACGTTTCTACTGGACTGGTCGGGCTCACTAACATTTTCTTAACCTCCCACAGCCCAGGCCCCGGATTCAGATCATATATTAGATGGCTGTCCAAAAACAAAAACGACAAAAAAAAAAAAACAAGTATATTTATAAAGTCCAGGTCCTCTTCAAACCTCCTGACAAACTCCTGAAGCCTGTTTGGGCTGCAGCAGACATTATATGGTTACTAGTAAGGAAAAAGGCAGGAGCTTTGGAGTTAATATGGTAAATCTATTCATGTTTGTTTTTTGTTTTTTTTCAGCAAGTTGTTTGTTTTGTTTGTTTTTGTTTTTTGCCCGTTTGAACTGTATTAAACACTACAAAGTCATCTATAGTATTTTAATCAGTTGATGTGGGTGATCTCAATGAAAACTGTGGTAAACCCTGAAGTCAAAATAAAAAGGATCGTAGAGCTGGTCTAAAAAAATCTAATAAAAAAGGAACGGGTGTTATCAAAGTGAAGAAAAAGAAGCAGGACTGTTTTAAATCTGTATTTATCATTCACATTCTGTATATATAGTTATCATTTCTTGCTTTGGTGTACGTTGACCGAGCTAGAATTCTGTAATGAATTTGCTTAAATTCTATACTGTATGAATAGAGCTTGAAAAACTGCAACAGTATTGCGATATTTCCAAAAACCTGCTTTGACACCATTTTAAGGTAATCTTTTACTTCATTTGTTTTAGTTTGGTCCTGCCATCTGCCTTGACCCCTCGTATTCGTGCCCCCTCCGAACCTCCTCTCTGTATAGAAACTATGGCTCTATATACCTATTTTAATGCCAAATTTGTGTTTACCTGTGTTCTAAAAATCATGGCTCCAGTTATGGATCACCTCTCCAGAACTAGATCTGCTGTTTGCCTTAAAAGGATTTTGGGACGTCAACAGAAATAACATATTCATGTTCCGCAGGATCATTTCAGTGATTGACGTGCAATCGCATATTGCATATGATAACGCTAGACTCACTTATCCATTAGACAGACACTCACGCATACATACCTATGCCTATACATCCATACAAGTCGTCACGTATGCATGCATCTGTATGCATATAAAGAGTTTTGTTTTTCTTTCCTGTCTTTAAAGTTCATTTTTTCTCCAATTCAGTCCGCAGTGTAACGTCAGTGCAGATCCACATTAATTTAGGTGTCTGAGTGATTGTGTAAAGACTTGCTTTCTCTTGGCACTATGTTGTTAATAAATAAATATATGGTGAACATCTTGTCTGTTGTGAAAGGGGTGTGATAAAGCCAAACCTGGAGTAACTTTGTGACCCTCAACTTTATTTGCTGTGTTCTCAAAATTAAATGCTATCACGAAAAAAATATAATAAAACCTTCTAAACTCAGCGTGTTTTTGCTTGCTTATGTATGTGTGGGAGTTCATTTATTATGAAGATGACATTCATTCATCATTTATTTTAACTTAATTTATTTTACAGCAATTTGTTTTAGACGCGTTGATTTTTAGATGACAATAAAAATACCTGGAACTTAGCTGTAAGTCAATATTAGATGGAATATCGCTGATTAAATCATAAATTAAATTATTATTTTAACCAATGATCATTGTCTGAACTTTCTGAAAGAACTTTCTTTCATAGCTGTCTGGAACAACTAAAAGCATTTAACTTAATACTAATTATATTTTTTACCAAAAATAAATATTCATAGTTGTTTAGAAAATGGCGTTACAGTTAAATAATCTTACAAACACAACTCCGCAACGTGTTACATTTAATGTCAAAACATGTAATGGCGCCAAAGAAATGCTCAGTTTATTACGGTCTGCAGGCATTTAGATCAAGGACAGGCCTGAACATCCGGGCTACAGGCGCCAACAGGGATTGGTTGCTTTACGCTTCAGGTAAATTCACCTTGTTTACGTATGGCTTTGATGCCATTGTTTATCAACGGTATAGTTATTTGAGCTGTAGAGTAATGAATGTAAATGTAGTAAGTTAATCAGATTCAAGAAAGCAATTTCATCATGCTGTACCTAAATCTTTTTAAAATGTGAAACACATTCACTCACTACATTGCAGTAAAACACACTTTTTCGTGTTTTAACAATACATAAAGATATTTACATGACTTCTTAAGTCAGCAAACAAACATTCCCCTGAACCTACAACATTTCAGCAAGTGTGTATATACACAATGTTTATTTTCCTTGAAAATTCTTAAATATAATATAACGAAGTCTCAAAACAACATTTATAGAAGAAGCCCATTCATAAAAGTTTATCCGAGACAATTATTTTCAAATAAATGCTTATAAAGACCTGTAAAATAAAAGAAAAGGCACTTGCGTCACAGCCCGGCGAGGTCACTCACGCGCACGCATGTTTATCCAGTAAGAGTCATGCACGCGCCCCCTGCCTGTGGAAGGTGAGCGAGCGCGAGTGTCTAGAGGAGAGGACACGAGAACGCGACTGCCCGGATCGATCGGATTAAACTCGAATTGAGTGAAATTAACACAAAGGAGAGAAGCAGAGTCAGCGAGGACGGGACGCTGAGACGCCGACTTCATCGGCACTATTTGAATTTCGACAGTTATTCGCGTATTTAAACGGATTTTCTGGATATACGAAGAGGAGTTAATTGGCGAAAACCCTAAACTGACCCGCGTTGAGTTGGGTAAGCATTTGCCTTTCTTTCTAACGATACGACACGAATCCACAAACTTTATCAATCGCACACAAACTTATTAGATAGTCCCAGGCGTTTGTTGCGTTTTTGTACAATTATACATGTGCTTTCATTGTGAGAAAACTGTTTTTGAGTGCCATTTAACTTGTTTTCAGCCATGGTGGTGCTCGCGGTGAAAACGGTGTTTTAAAACGGCAAAAAAGTTATTTCAATTAAATGTTTCGCTGGAAGAACACACACCACACGTTGGCTTTTTCGTTTCTTGGCATTTTAACTTCTCGAAGAATCTCAAACTAGCTCGAGCACATGCTAACATTAGCTCATTTAGCTCACGCGCACTGCATTGTATAGAGCCGCACGGATCCCTATAGGAGTGGAAGCGATAAATATTTGAGATAAATTGGATACAAGGACTTTTTCCTTTCAAGTTGTAAGACAACATTTGTACACTTCATATTATAACGTTAATGGGTAAAACTATTTTTTTCAAAAGCGTATAAAGTAAGCGTTCGTTAGCTAGCTAATTGTTGAGACACGAGGTGGTTTGAACGTAACGTTAGAGGTGAGTCATTGGCCGAGCTGAATGAGGGAGATCCCCGACCCCTTCTATCAACAATTACACTTATTAAATAGTTTTCAAGCGCACAAAACTGCAAGTAAGAATCACGCCAAAGTTGCTGTAATTGTGTTTTTCCTTTTATCGCTCGATGATGCTCGAAATAGCGTGTGGAAACAGCAAAGCGTGTCGGAAAGTGCGCTTGTCCGAAGGACAATATAGATACCATGGAAGGTTGCTTGAGGCCAGATGGTCAACCCCTCGTTTTCTTTTTTTTATCCGTTTATGAAAGTCAAAACTTCAACATACTTTGATAAACACACTTCACGTGTGCTGCTTGTGCTCTGGATTCGGCAATCTGTGTTATTTTGATCGAGTGCTCGGCTGGGAGAAGTGCGTTCAGAGGCAGGCGTGCGCTGGGGTAATTAGCTGCTTGGAAGTGGCCGATCTGCTAAGAGACGGACAGCGTCGACTTCATTGTCTCACAACAAGCTAACTAGCTAGCTGGACACAACTCATCACACGTTTCTTTTGTCCCTTTGGCCCCTCAACAGGTAGACGGTTTAAAGGGAGGGGGATCGGGAACTGGGGGAAAACGCACCTGGTTTATTATTGGACATGTTTACTTGTTTTGAAAAGTTTACATTTTGTTTTCTATCAAGTTAAAATTGCCTTTATTAGCTAATCTGCGTAATAAATACGCGCAGAAAACTTAAAAAGCACCTGTTTAATTTACAGCGTTTAAAAGTCACGAAGAGTGGAAAAAAATTTACTTTTACTCCAATATAGGGTTTGATACGAGTTTTAACACGCGTGCGTGTTTTGTTGTTAAAAATGAACAAAAGTACACGACTTGGCGTTTTAAAGTTGATTTAAATGTTATTTAAACCTGAAACTGCAACAAAGAATCGTTTGAAGATCGTATCGTCGTTGTCTCGCTCCCTCTCATGTCTTTAACCTAAGATGGCAGCTTTTAATGTGTGTAGGTCCACTCAATGAGCAGATATGAAGCCGGTATGGCGGAGCAGATGTGAGGCTGCTTTGTAGTCGCTTTAGGCTTTTCATCTCGCTTGCCTTTTCTTGTGGTTGCTGGGGCTTGTTCACTAGTTGCATCAAATCGAAAAGTCAAGTGCCGGTTCCTCTTTTGTCTTTAGAGAAAAGTTTGAGTACACTTTAGTATCGTCAAATCCTGTAGTGATTCGTGTTAAACATTATTTGTAAGTTGTGTAAATTAATGTTGCAGTTCGTTTGAATACAAATAATTGATTTAGTTAGGCTTTTTAATGAACTAAAGTGATTTCGTTTGTTCAGTTTTGTTACTTAAAATGAATTGTAATTGTGTATACGTGCATTTTTAATTGGTGTCTGAACTCTTATAGGATAATTTGACAAATTTTGTCAAATCTCACCTTATATTTTGCTAAATTTACTTTAAGAAGTTCATGGCATCAGATAACTGTACACAATCCAGCCGGCCATGTTCACAAACCCATGTGAACTAGTGTAAGTTGGTGTTTAAAGGCCATAGTAAAGCATGACCCAAACAACAAACTCTTCACCTTTAAACCTATTAAAATGTGTTTCTGTATCTATAGTATGTGCCTGAATGAAATTCAGAAAAAAAGGGGCTACAAACCTTGAAACAATACAGTGCATATGCAAATCAGTTCTGTTGTTGTATATGGAAAAACACTGTCCATTTATATCTATTATTTGCAGCTTCTACAAACCCTATTGATACCATCTACCCTGGGACTGGCATTGAGAGTGCTGCAGAAGTGGGTCAGGCACCCCCTGCACATGTGCACACTAACACTGGTATTGGAGGGTGCTTTCAAAGCTGGTATTCCAGTTATCTGACAACATGCTTTCAATCTACGCCAGGAACCGCACCGCTGTGTCCAGGCCCTTTTCCTCCAACCCCTCCTCTCTAGCCATGGGTTAGCAGGAGGGCTGCAGTGGCCTGTTGTGCTGCAAAACAAGCAGGCTTTTTTTCCCTTTTCGCTGACCATCCCCCTCTTCCCTGCCACATAGAAGATGGAGGAACAGTTTCAGATGAATAGCTTGCAATAGATGAGTCTTATAATATTCAAATGAGAGACGCTGGCCTTTAATGGCTGAATCTGTTTCTCAATGAGATTCTAGAAGTTTTTAATGTGTTTGCTTGCTGCGTATGATTCCCTTACTGTTTTTGTCTGCGAGAAGACATTTTTTAGAAAGTTTTTATGATCTCTAAGCAGCAAATCTAGTGGTGTTAAGTCATGTAGAAATGTTAAATCTGCACTGTACCATGCTACTATCTTTGGTAGTGCGTGTTTTAACAGACATTTCAAAATACCTTTTAGCACTTTCATAATCACATCCTCTGTTAATGTTGTGAGGCATGCGATTCACTCTTTGTGTTTATGTGCCATTTCCCCATTTTTCTTTTTCTTTTGGTTAAACAGAGCAGCCTTTTTCCTTTCGTACAGCAACTTGCTGATTCTGAATCCTTAGGCACATGCTCTGAATCCTCAGGCTTTTTGATAGTGTATTTAATGTAGTAATTCCCTTCAGGTCATTTTTACGTCCCTTGTGGCTATAGGCAGAAAGCAGAGCCCCAGGATGTACAACCTTTAAATCATCGGCCCTCAGGGAATGTCTAAATCATTGGTACATACTACCGTTGACATGATGTTATGATTTTTAAACTTTTTTTATTTTACATTTAACACCCTTTTGCATCACCATTTTTCACATGTTAATGTTAAAGTACCTTTTTTAAGTTTTTTTATATATATATATATATATATATATATATATATATATATTAGGGCTGCACAAAATAAAAAATAAAAAAAACTGACATTGAAATATTTTCATTCACTGCGATTTATATATTGTGATATAAATGCAATTTCACCTGATGAATAGTTTGTAACGAATTCATAATTTTAGATAAATTGGGATGATTGTGTAGGGGAGCACATCTGTGTAAAATATAATTAAAATGACAAGTATAGTTAAATACAACAAACAAAAATATTCAAATAAACAATGATTTATAATTTTTTTGGGGAGTCAAACAGTATTCAGAAGCAGAGCTTAAATAATCACTGTATAATAACAATAATATTAAGACTATATTGATTTAATTGAGTACAATTAACCTTTAAGCTACAAATGTTTAATTGATTGTGCCCAAATGTTTAAGTTTGCTCAATTTTTTTACTTTCAGGGCTTAAACTTGCAAATAATAAACTTTCACTCAAAGGTTAAAATTTGAAATGACTCAACTATGTTGGTAACTAATGTCTTGACAACTATAATCCTGACTAAATTGTAGATCCCTACGATGTGACTATTGCGGACTCGCACATTGCGATATCGATGCTAAAACGATATATTGTGCTGACCAGATAGTTCGATAGATGGATAATCAACCAATATGTTTCTTAAAAAGGACCATCACTAAAACTTCTAATAGTGAACAGCCATGTTTTACTGTTGCATAAAACAAATTTTAAGTGTAAATAAACATTTAAAAGTTAAGTTGTAATAGTTTAATAGTTGTAATAGTCTAATTTTCTGTCTCTTATAAAATCAACCCAAAAGCATCAAGAACAGTCAGATAAAACTAATAAAATACTTGAAACAAAGTGGAGTTTTTTCCAAGCAAGGCTTAATTGCTTGATCATGTTTAAACTTTCATACTAAAATCTTTACAGATTTGTGGATTAAAAACAGCATATACACTCTGCTTCATTTTAGAGAGGCAAATTGACATGTAGCACTAATGCCTGTTGTGCTGAAATGTCTTCAGTGTGTGTGCTTGTGACAGACACACAGGTATTTCTGTATCAAATAGTCACTTATTGCAAAGCATTGCAATATACACACTTGCGATATTTCGATATGTAGCATAGGCCTAAAAGTTTATCTAGAAAATTAGGAACAGCCTTTATTTAATGTAAATGTATTATTATAACATCTTAAATTTCTTTAATGTCACTAACTTGGCAAGGATAGATGCCGGTGATCTAAAGCAATAATTCCAAATACCACCACCAGGTAATGGATCTGCTAAGACTTCCTCTGTGCAATGAAATGTCATTGTTGTGTTGATTGCTTTTAAATGTTGAACTGTGTTCTGCTAGAGGAACAAGGGAGTTTCATGGCTTTTTGCCCCAGCTGACCCTTCTGCAGGTCCTCAGCTGGTACGCAGACAAGTGCCGGAGGCAGACTGGGTGACAGCAGGTCTGGAAGTGAAGGTCAAAGTTCCCTCTTCCTCTTTTTCCAAATCTGCTATCTCCGACTGTCTGTGACTTTTAACTCAGCAAGCTCTTGCGTTCATCCATACAACAGAAATGCTGCTGTCTAGTTTTTTCCTTGTAAAAAGAACAGCTTTATGTTTGAGGTGAAATGACTTGTCTTAGATGCAACAGATTTGTTC